TGTTACCCTCATAGAATGTATTGTTCTCTCAGATAGCAGATGCCTTCTGTTACCCTCATAGAATGTATTGTTCTCTCAGATAGCAGATGCCTTCTGTTACCCTCATAGAATGTATTCTTCTCTCAGATGGCAGATGCCTTCTGTTACCCTCATAGAATGTATTCTTCTCTCAGATAGCAGATGCCTTCTGTTACCCTCAGAATTTTCAATGAAAAGGAAAACCTTGGAATTAACAAAAAATCTGTAATGGGACTCGGTAAGAACCCCGAGAATGGAAACACTAATTATATTTCGCTCTTACCCATACCGCGTGAACACCTCGTGCCAATAAGTGCGTCAAGAGCTCCTGCTGCGTTTTACATTTTGCTTTGGCAACCACACGTGGAGAGGAACCCTATAATTACGTAGGTGGTGGTCAATCATTCATGATACGGTCAAAAACAAACACAGGTGTCGCTCAAATTCACAGCATTCGAAAAAAGGTTCAATTTGTCAGTTAAGCCTAAACTGAATATTCTACAAACTTTTATTGTATAATATTTTGTGTATTTAACAATAACTAAACTTAAGCAATAATGTAAAACTAGAATGAGTCCTCACAGACAATTTTGACGATAAAAAAAAATCTTCAGATGTGCAGTTTTAGTGGTATGAAAATCTTTCAAATGGTGCCCCTGATGAGAATTGGAGTTGTTAAAAAGTGCCTTATTAGCAAGTGCTGGTGGATTAACCCTTTAGCTACGTTGGTAGTTCAATCGCCAGAGGGCCGCTACTTATTGTTTTCCAACTAACTAACGTGTTTACCTAATTTTCATAAAACCCTGAATACACATTCTCCCCCCCCCACCCCTCATTGGCTCAGCAGTAAATCTAAGGGCTTAAAACGCTAAAAATCGGGTTTCGATACTCGTAGTGGGAGAGCACAGATAGTCCATTGTGTATCTTTAGGCTTGATAACAAAACAAACAAGCGATTATTACAAATCCTACATCTAATGATCGAATTACGTTCACACTTTCACACAAGTCCGTTATCTTTGGGAGGATGTGTTTTTATAATTTAGTTTGTAGGTTAACTCTAAATATTAATACGTTCACACTTTCACACAAGTCCGTTATCTTGGGGAAGATATGTTTTTTATAAGTTAGTTTGTAGGTTAACTCTAGATATTAAGTGTACCAGCTGTACACCGTATACTAATCAGCAGTCAATGCGTTAAATTCGAGTATTGTTCCTCCCCCGCTGCGAAGGGTGCGGGGACCTGTCCCCCACATGTTCTGCTATCTAAGTGATTTTTAACTCAAGTTTGTAAGTAAACTATCCTCAATATTCTAACGTTCCTACACATCGTGAATGTAAACTCACATTTGTTTTGATGGGCTTATATTCAGGTGCTCTACATAATATGAGTAATTTCACAGGCAAGAAAACCACGTGGGCAGTAAGAATGGAAGGCCCTGACTGTACTATACGGGCTAGGAATGTTTTGTGTTCATTGTTGATCTTTGTGTACGGTCTTGGGCTGTACTTCTCCCCCCACTTACGGGGGTTACAATGTTGATTTTATCCATTATTCTTGTTTGCTGGCTGGCGTTCAGTCGCAACAAACGCCGCGCGTGTGTCTCGTGGCGCGTGCACCGGGACAATTCTTTTGTTTGTGACTGCGGAGAAGGTTTCTGGTATACCATCGGTCGAGTTCCAATATAATACTGGAACCCAAAATACAATAGAAAAGATGGTAGGTCGTCGTGCCCTATAACCCCCCCCCCCTCCCTCTCACCCTTTCAGTCTCTTCCAGAGGATGCCAAAGCATACGCCTGGAAGAAATTTGGGCTGATTGTTGATTTGTGTGTTTGGGGGGAGTACGAAAGACTGTCTTTTTTTCTTCTCTGTCACATACGTGTTTATTAACAGATCTGTATAATA